AAGTGGAGCCGTAGTTACTCGACCACTCCAGACGGTATTCCTCTTTGCTTCATCAAGAGAGTTCTGCCATGAATTGTCGGCCCGTTACGGTTCCTCTTCAACTTAAGTCTCTTTCGAGCGGAGGTTCCTGATAGGTGGAAGATAGGTGTATACTCCTATTCACACCTATTCCAAAGAAAGCGCTTCATTATATCTCCAGTAACTATAGACCAGTCAGCATTACTTCCATTTTTTTCTGGGTTTTCGAAAGGTTGTTAAGAGGGTAATTACAGCTCATTTAGAAGAGAATAAAGATTTTTTCGGATTGTCAGCATTGGTTTAGGAGGGGGAGGTCTACTGTGACTCAAATGCGAATCCTTCAACGAAGACCGCGGCTACAGATGAAAAAAAGGAGGTTGACGTGATTTAGTTTGATTTTTGTAAGGCGTTCGACAAGGTCAATCACGCAAAACTAGTTATGAAGCTGAGACATGTTGGTGTCCATCAAAGAATTGTGGATTGCTTCCTTCCTTGAGCGAAGATCTTTTCAAGTGCTCATTAATGAAACATTCTCTGGTACAACGTTGGCTCCTAGCGGGGTTTCGCAGGGTGGCATCCTTTCACCATTACTGTATTGCATTTATACGTTCGAGTTACCTCGTATAGTTGAAGCAATGGGCGTTAGTTGTAAGGTGTTCGTCGATGACATCAAAATCTATAAATCCTTGGTGGTAGAAGATGACACAATTAAGTTACAAGATGCAATTGATGCAGTTGCTAGATACTCGAGATTATGGGAACTGCCCCTAGCGTATGGAAAAACCTCAGTTCTTAACTCAGGAAGATCCCTATCTAGCAACAATCGTTCTATTGATGGATAACAACTTAAAAGTGTAGAAGAAGGGATTTGGGTTTTATTGATCACAAACTAACGTTTAATTCCCACTGTACGGCAATAGCGAACACAGAGAAGAGGCTATTCCAGCTTCTGAGAGGCTTGCATACCAGGGACCCTTGCATACTCATCAGGGCATACAAAGCATATGTCTGTGCTATTGTAGAATATGGATCTGCGGTCTTCTACCCCAACAGCAAGAGGGCCAGCGCTGGAATCTGGGTAGAACAGCTTTACCAGGAAAATTCTAACTAGGGCTCTGGGGTTCGTCTATAGTGCTATACCAAGAAGTACTGTTAGGAATAAGATGCTTGGAATCGAATCACTTCTCCAAAGGAGGAAAAAGAATGACCTTCAACGTTGTCCAAAGTACTGACAGGAAGATCGGATCGATGGTTGATTTAAAAGGCACGCTCACTATTCACCCGTCCAACACCAGAGGGGATAAATTCAAACTTCTTTTCCCTAGGGCTAGATCAAATGTCAGAGCAACATTCTTTGTTGTGAGGGCTTCTACTGAATTCTGTAAGTTTGCAAAGAAGCATATCGTGCCCGGCAGCCTAGCTCTGCACAAAAGAGCTTTGCATTGTTACTTAAAATGAGAGCTTCTACGCTTTCTTCCCTATAAATTTTTCTGCTCATTCTTGGGAGGTCGACTCGGTGCCATAGCCCTAACTATTCCATTCTTTCCCTTCTTCTCATTTTATGTTTTCTCGTTGAATGATACATCAGTTCTTTCTTCTAATGATAAATAAACATGTGTACATGTATCAAATCAAATCAAATCAAAAGATTTATTGGCCAGTCTCCAATTACTACTAGTAGCTCGCCCAACCGAAAGACGCCTCAGTCACATTCCATAGAGCTGAAACAGGTAAAAATTTAATCCCAAAGGTCATGCACATTTACCAGAGTAGGATTATTGATCATTAAAAATACAGTGACCGACATCAAATACAGGAACATTGTTGTTACTTGAGAACTCAAACTGTTGTAAGGAGACTCGCACAATATGGCCGCCACCACAGAGCAAAAGTGTACAAAAAGTCGGAAGATCAGGCGAGGATTGTCCAGAACAGGATCAAAATGGGCGCGAAATCCGCGCAGTTTGGAGCCTAGGATCAAGAAAAGTACCAGAAAAGTAAAAAAAAAGTCTAGGGGAAGATGCTTGGCTTTTGAGCGAGGGCGTCGAGTTCTATGGGATCGGACTTTCTTCTGACGGAGGTGCCCACGTAACAGTAGATAAATGCTCACTGTAGACTGTAGGGTGGATGTTGCACTGCATACTGACTGTTTGCTTATCAACACCTGTAGAGCTGGCACCACTTGTTTTTCGATTAACTTTGAAAATCTTGCAAAGATTTATTGCTACAAGTAGCATGTGGCTTTGTTCCATAATTGAACGGCGATTATTCCTATTCACGAAATAAGCTTGGGAATTGGGGCGGTACAACGCTGAAGAAACAGGTTTAAGGTTCAAAACGCTTGTTGCGGCTGCTTCGCGCGTAGAACCAAATAGTGTCATCCCCTTTTCGAATTGAAGACAAATTCCACGCTCTCGAAACGATACTTGCCATGTGCCTTAACGGGCTGACTGATGTACAAGTGCTCCCGTTCGATCACTCGAAAGCTGGAAATAATGCTGAAGGGATTGAAGGGACTTATCGCGCAATGTGACGGAACTGTAATTTTCCACAGCTGACGCGTACACCTCGTGCAGGACTAGAACCTCTGAAGTGTACGTACAATTTGTCTTTAAAAATAAACGTTAATGGTATCGAAACAGCAGCTCTCTTCAGAAATTGCTACTTCCGGAAGGGTAAGCTTCATGTAGAGCTGGCACCCTTTAGCAATATGTCATCTTTTCCCGAAATTCACTTTCTCACGCACCGACACTCTGAACAAAAATCGTTTTTGGCATCGGTACAAAAATTGAGGGTTGTACTTACGATTCGTGCATGAATCGCCACAAAACTTGATGAGCCGTTTTGAAAAACTACTTTATTTTCTGAAAGACCCTCTTTGCAAAATATGTGGGAGACTTCCAACTTTTAATTTCTGATGTTAAATAGCTGCTCATTACCGACACGAGCTGTAGCCGAGAGCATTTCCCTGGCAAGCATGTTTACAGCATTCGAGGTCTTTGAAATCATTAAAGAGGTCGCACTGAGTAATTTACAGCGATTCTACTGCTGATGTAAGATGTAGTCACCTTGGAGTGTGTCTAGGAGAGTCAGGCTACAATGTTGTCAAAATTAAAATACAAAGTACTACAACTGCAGTTCGACAAAAGTATTTGAGAGGAAATTCAAGTTGAATACCTACCATTTTCACAAAAATCATTGTAGTAGCCGTTTGCACAAACGCATACACCGAAACTGGCGGTTCCACCATTCACGCAAATCTCAATGTGCATTTTTAGCAAGAGTTCCGAGATGACGAAAATACAATACAATGACCTCATAACCTTCTAGAAATTTGAAGAAAAACTGTACATTCACTTCCGTGGATCCTCATACTTACCATGTGTGAAGTGAGCGGGTCGCAGCGTTGCATCACCATGTCGTTTCTCCGCCTAAAACTGCACGGGAACGAGGCTGCAGGGTAGTGATATCCGGTGCCGACTCTGTACTCTGCTTCGTGCTGCCGCAATGTGAGCCCACGCCTGATCGGAGCGGAACATGCTATTTGTGTGTTGCCTTTGTGATTATTCTCTGGCTGAGTATGTGTTTCGCTGCAGAACCTTGCTGACTGCGCAAGTGCTGCACCATGAGTGTAGCGCAGGCAGAGTTTCGAGCCGGCATCGTTATCACTATTCTTCTAGCCTAGTTTCCATGCATCTGAGCGAGGAAGGTGGCACGCTATTGAAGAGGGGGCTTGAGGCGAGGAAGGTGGCACGCTATTGAAGAGGGGGCTCGTTCACCTCACATGGAACGCCCGTCAATGGGGTGAGTATACAGTTTTTCTTCAACGAGAACCGCATATTAAAACTTGTGGATGTATTAGACCCGCTCCAAGGAGTCGTTCACACAGGGTGTCGGTTCCCTACTGGTTGTAATTAGATTACAGCCGTTCACATATTATATAGGGCACGAAAAACATTCTGGAAGCAAGGGCTTGAGCAATTGCTTGGTTGTTCATTTTTCATTTTATTTCTGTTCTTATGAATTCACTGTAAATCTCATTCTTCACTACCACAAAATTTCTGTTCTCTTTCTTCGACGATAGAGCCGTCACTATTCTATCACCGACTTGCGCCGTGATGAGTTTGTTCAAGACTAGACGTAGAACTTGCGAGGGTTCTGCACGCCACTTTCGGGTGACTTCCCACAACACTGAACTTTTGCGACTTCTAATCATTTCTGTGAACGTTGTGACGGAGATTTCTATCAAGCAGCCTATCATCCTGGGCCTTACCTCCACTATTTTCTTTTAGCAAGGCATGACTGTGGCTGAGGGGGAGGGAGCGTGAAACTCGTGAGTGGAGAAACGGCTGAGGGATGCTACACTCTCAGGCCCTCGGCTACTCCCCCTCACAAGCACCTTTTTGAAATGACTTCTTTTGTTTTCATTAATGTGCTACACCTTGTACAATCTCTCAGTTGATAGAATGTATAAGGTTAGCAAAATCGACAAGATGGTGCGTATTTTGCTGACTTCTCCCAGTAGCTGTAAAACGCCAGAAATTCCACTTTTGGGGCTCTCGAGTCGACCCAGACTCCATACCTCCGGGCCCCGCATTTTGAAAGGAGAGAGAGAGAGAGTGAACGCTGTTCAAAGAAATCTAACATCAGAGGTTCGCCGTCGGAATATCGCTCCAGGCTCCGTACAACTTTTCACTCATCCCAAACGTAAATATCCCGTAAAACACCTGCTTTATATGATGCCCGCAGCCCTCCCAGCCCATCTAGTGGATATGGTCTATAGTATGTACATACATGCGCATATATCTAAGTGAGTCAGTGTGAACACTGTCCCGCAAATAATGTTCATTAGCCCTTCCTTTCCACATTGTTTTACTGCTATCTCACTTCATTGAATTCTCTAATTTCTAATGAATGGCATAGTCCGAACCATCAGCAACTATCAACATATAACTATCCTAGACATTCAGAAAGAAACTTAATTAACTAACCCTGTCGTTGCAGTAATCGCCGCTATAATGAGCATCGCAGCCACATTCGCCGTACGCATTTCTGTTTCCGTGGACACACTGAGCAGTTGAGTCTTAAATATCCGAGGTTCAGTTCTTAGAAAATGCTTGGAGCATTAAAGCAACTGTCCTCGATGGCCCACACAATTGTACAAGATTTTGTGAGGAAGGTAGTATTCTCCACGATGCTGCAAAAATTTGTAAGGCAAAGTAGCAGAGGCTCAGGAGCTCCAGTGACACCACCCTTTTCCCGTGACTCCACCTCCAGATTCTGTTTACGAGGCCCGACTTTCAGCGAAAAGCGATGCTTCCGAACAAGTAGTATGGAATGAAAGCCGCGCTGTCTCCTGTGGAATCGTGAGGCCCATTTTTGGAGATCCTGACCGGACTCGTCCCAAAACGCGCTTTTTAGGTCCATACTCGTGTAACTGCTTGAAACCAGAGCAGCTTTCTGGAGACTTCCCGTCAATCCCTTTTGCGTTTTTTTGTTATGACAAGACCTCTTCAACTCCTCTTTTTCGTTTTGAAACCACTACCTACGCTTCCGATCGCGGCTTTGGCCAAGCAAAAGCAGCTAAGAAGAGACGTGCTGTGGCACGATGAGGAAGTCTTCACCTTCTTCTTCTCCCTAGCGTTAGTCCCGCGGCGTCGCAGGGTCCGCTGTTAGTGTTAGACGTCGCCACTTGTTCCGATCCACTGCATCTTCTGCCGTAGCTTTCACTTAAGTGAGGTCCTTCTTGATGACGTCCCTCCATCTTTTCTTTGGGTCGCTCGTGGTCGCTTGCCCTCTGCTTCGAATTTCAATGCCTTCCTTATTGGGTGGTCCTCAGGTCTTCTCAGCACGTGCCCATACCATCGTAGTCGCAGCTCTCTTTCCTTCAGCTGGATCGGGTCCGTCATTGTGACCGCCGTGACGTCCTCGTTTCTGACTCTGTCGAGTCGTGTCCAGCCGCAGGCCCATCTCAAAATCCTCATTTCAGCTGAGTAGAGGTGCCTTTCATGACTCTTGCAGATAGGCCAGCACTCAGCCGCAGAGCATTGGAGGTCTTACCACCGCCCAGTACACCTTGCCCTTGAGCGTTCTCGAGCACCGCCGGTCACACAGGATCCCAGTGGACTCCCTCCATTTCATGCAGGCTGCGTTAATTCGCACCGCCTGGTCCACGCTGCCATCAGCAGCTAGGTCGCTCCCCGAATACTGGAAGTCCTCGACAGTTTCGATGCTCTCGCGTTGACGGTCTATGAGTTCGGTACACTCTTCAGAGCTCAGGAACTTGGTCTTCTTCGCGTTCAACTGGAGTCCATTCTCAGCGAGCACATCCTGCCATCTACACCTTGTCCTGGAGTTCCTCCCTGCTGTCCGCTATCAAGGCGATGTCGTCAGCGTAGAGGATGGTTTTCAGTGGTCCCTTCATGAGTTCTTTTGCCATGACATCTAGAGTCAGGAGGAAGAGGAACGGGCTGAACGCTGATCCTTGGTGCACCCCAACCGTGATGTTTACCTCTTTCGTCAAGCCGTGCGGGGTGCCTACAGCTGCTTTAGCCCCATCGCACATATCGTTCATTATGTAGACTTGGTGATCCGGAACCTTAAGTTCTCCCAGTGCTCTCCAGAGTACAGGCCAAGGCGGCGGTTGAATGCCTTCTCAAGGTCCAGGAAGGCTAGGTAGCAGGGTCGCCGCTTCTCTCGGTACTTCTCCATCAGCTTTCCTGCGATGGAGATGGCGTCAGTGGTGGATCTTTCGGGCAGAAGCCGAACTGTTCTGCGAGATAGGGACAAGCTCCCTCAGCCTAGTGTTGACCAGGGGCTCGTACAGCTTCATGGTGTAGGGAGTCAGCTTGGTGTCGCGGTAGTTGGAGCACCCCGTCGCGTCCCCTTTCTGTTTGAAGATGGGCACGATTGTGCTGCTCCTCCACGCATCTGGCATCTTTCCTTCAGCCGTTACATTGTTTAAGAATTCTGTTAGCCAACTCACCCCAAGCTCTCCCAGGGCCTTCCATGCCTCTATCGCCACCTCGTCTGGACCCACTGCTTTCCCAACTTCCCTTCTCCCTAGCTCACGGTGGACTTCATCCTCCAGCCAGGGAGTGATGGGACCTGCGTCGTCTCCATCTGTGTGCTGTCCCTGCGGGGGAATTCGTTCAGAAGTTCCTCGAAGTATTCTTCCCACCTCTTTCTGGTTTCCCGAGAATGGCTCCGTTGATGCTCTTCACAGTCTTTACGACCCTGATGTCCTGAGCCGCGCGATGCCGAGCTTTGACTAGGCGGAAGACGAACTTGTCCCCTTCTCGGCTCTCCAGCTTCTCGTACACTTCCGATGGGCGTCCATTACCGTATTCTTAGCCTTAGCAACGGCTGCCTTGGCGAGTCGCTTGCAACTCTTGTAGGCAGCGTAGTCTTCTGCGCTCAGTGTCTTTTGCGTTTATATGCTTCCTTCTTCTGCTTGACGATCCCCTGGACTTCCTCGTTTTAGAACCAAACTGCCTTGTCTCCTCTGATACCACCTCGCGTCTCTCCCAGGACTTCCTTAGCACACTGTTGGATGACCTCTGCTGCATAGGTCCAGGTGTCCTAGACTGACCCGTGTGGGTCGAGCGAGCTCCCTTTCTATCGGTGTCGAGGTATCTTTCTCTCGTGCCCTTTTCCACTACCTGGAATGTTTGCTCGCTCTCACGCTTCTCTCTTGGAGGTAGATGCGATGTCTGCCAGGAGAGGCCTATGCTGAGGGCCCAGCTGTTCCTCAGGCTGTACCTCGATATCCCTGACAGTTGTGAGAGACGATCTTCCAACCAGGACATAGTCGATTTCCGTTTGTTTCCTTCCACTGCTGTAGGTTATCTTCTGAGTTCTTCTTCTCGCGAGAAGGTGCTACAGATTGCTAAGTCGAGGGCGGTGGCTAGGTCAAGGATCCGTTCCCTCAGCGTTCTTTGCACCTGCTCCTTAGCCTCCGTGCACCCTTTCTAAACCCCTTCTGTCATTTCCCACATGGCCATTCAGATTCCCAGCTATGGTGAGGTAGTCATCTTCCGCAATAGATCTTATGGCTTCGGCCAGGGTAAGGTAGAGCTCATCCTTTTTCGCCTCGGAGCAACCGGATTGTGGTGCGTACATGGTCAGTACGGTCCAGTACTCTTCCCTCGTGTCCATTCTCATTCCCGTGATCCGATCACTGATTCTGTTCACAGAAGAGACGCAGTACTTCAGGGAGTCTGCCACCGCTATGGCCACACGATTCCGTTTGGTGTCTGCTCCAATGTAGAAGAGTTTGACGCCTTCTCCAATCTCGCGGGCCTTCGCACCCTTCCATCGCGTTTCCTGAAGGTATAGGACTTGTATGTTCCTTCGTCTCATAAGGTCGGCAACCTCACGAGTCTTCCCGGTAGGCGACCCTACGTTCAAGGTCCCTATTCGAACTATTAGGTTGTCCGGAAAGTTCTCAGCGTTTTGGGTGTTTCACTTTAAACGATCGTAACTTTTTTAATACTCATCGGATTTAATCGAAATAGGCACCATTCGAATCAGCACACCTTTGGCAATGTGACAGCAGTCGAGAAATCCCATCAAAATAAAAACCGGGTGGTACGAAAATTCAACGAAATCCACGAAGGCTTTTTTGCCTGGTCCTGATGATGAAGTATTCCCCAGCAAAAAAGTTCTGAAAATGTTTGAAAAGGGAATATTCGGTTGGTGGAAGGTCTGAAGAATATGGCAGTCGAGGTAGAACCTCAACCCCCAATTCGTTCAATTATTGGATAGTGAATTGTGAAAAAATAGTGATTATCTGTGAAATGTGTGGGCGGGCGTTGTCATGCAAAAGAATCGGACTCTTCCTTTTGATAAGTGTTGGCTGCAACTGACAAAATTTTCGGTACAATCCGTCGATTTCTTCACAGTAGAGTTCTGCTGTGATGGTTTGGCCTGGTGGTAAAAAGTTATAGTGGATCACACCAGCCGATGACCACCAAGCCGTGACCAGAACCATTTTTTCGTGAGGGTTCGGCTTTGAAAACTACCTCGGTGGTTCGTCGAAATCCCTTTGTCCGGAACGTCTCCTGTTATCATACATGACCCATTTTTCATCACAGGTGACAATTCGGTAAAAATACAGGTCGTTTTTGCTGCGCAAAAGCAATGCAGAAGGAACCTCGAGACGTGCCGATTCCTGCCGGTCACTCCGATTGTGGGGCACCCGATTGTCGAGTTTTTTCACCTTCCCAATGCGTTCCAGACCATCCGCAACAGTGGATTTGCCAACGTCTAGCTATTCTGCAATCCGTCGAACTGTTTGGGATCGGTCAGCCTCCAAAAACCCCCTAAAATCCACGTCAGAATTGCTTTAGGTCGACCGCTATGAGTTTCATCTTCAAGGCTGAAATCTCCAGATCGAAATTTGTTGAGCCATTGCCGCACAGTGTTTTCTCTAGCACTATTGGGCCCCCACACCTGGTTAATTTGTTGAGCTGTTTCGATTGCGGATTGCCCCATTTTATAGTCGAAAAAAAATCGTCCGAAGTGCTCTTTTCACATGCTTAGAAAAATCTTGAAAAAAAGGGGATTATCAAGCAACAGTGGAACGGCAATCATACCATCAGATAGCGCAAGAAATTCTCTACAGGATGTGCTACTGAGAAGCAAGGCAGAATGAATTCTTGATCAGCAATGAATGTACAAAGAATAGGTGCACAAAACGCTGAGAACTTTCCGGACAACCTAATAGCTTCTTTGGCCGAACCTCTCCTCTCGGTAGCCCTCGCATACTGACCACACTCAGGCGAGGGTTCTGCGCGCCACTTCCGGGTGACGTCCTAGCATTAACACTGATTAGATTGCGACTTGTCATGATTGTTGTGACGGGTTCCTCCATCAGCCGGGCTGTCAACCAGGGCCAGACGCTGGTATCGTCCCCATTTTTGCAATTTTTGCAGGGCAGGTTTGTGCCTCGGCAGGGATTGAACTCGTGGCTCAGAGTGCGAACGTGAGTCCACACTCTTAACCACTTGACTATCCCTCCCTCGGCACGATGAGGAAGTAATGCTCGAAATTCGAAGACAGCCCTCGCGCTCGAGCAGTATATGGTCGTCCTTCCTTGTGTAAGTAGTTCAGCCCCCAAGCTAGAGAATACCCCACTCTCGCGGCTTCATAGCGAACGAGGAGCGGGCTACAGCCGCTCTAGTTCTAACGCCCGCCCAATTGGACCGCCCACTTGCTAGATGCCTCTGACGGAGGGCCGCTCAGTTGTTCTTTGTTGGGACGGCGGGCATTAAGCGGAATTGCATGGCCTTTCCGTTGAAAGCGCTCGTGCCCATGAATGATTCTGCTCTCCTTCATTACATTCTATTAACCAGGACCACATACAGTGAACTCCAACTCATCTCGCAAGATAAAACGCGTAAAAATCACGAGCGACCCAATTTTCGAGGAGCAAATGCACTTCACTACAGTGAAGTATGCCGTAATCCTAAATTCGGACGCCGGCTTTTTAAATGTTTCTTTTTCTTTTCAGGAGTTTTTCCTCTCTTTTTTTGTTGTTTTTTGTATTCTTTTTTAAGCATTCGATGATATCACTACAGGGTGATGTGATAAAGTGATTTGTAAGCCAGAGCTTGCACAGAGACCGCAAGGAAGTGTGACTGTCAGGGCGCGATTTTGTTTATGGTGTTCTTGAGGACTCTTCTTGCTTTTTTTCTTTTCTGTGGAATTACTCATCAGCTACTGTTTCATAACTGAACATCAACTATCCATGATTTTTTTTATCGCGGGAGCTGTCATTGAGGAACGACATGGTAACTCGGCGTTGAACTCACCGCTAGAAGTTGGCTGTGTGAAGAAAAACGTTCGTTGGAACTTTGTGTTGTTAGCGTCGGTCCCCATTACAATGTACCGTTGGTAAGTTGTTTGTGGTGACTGGAAGCATTTGAATGAGCAGTTCACCTCAGAAAATATAAAAACAAGCGTGGATTGCGACAACCATTTCGAGCCATTCTGCTTTTGAAAACAAAAACTGCTGCGAAAGTGTTGAAGTGTACACAAATGCTATACAAGAGAAAACTGTGTGGAATAGAGGGATTGGGTAACCTAACATCTCGCTGACAAGAACCGAGCCCTCCAAAAGCTATCTTTTACTGCTTGAAGTGATTTTGCTACTAACCGTGAATGCTTCGGTGATAAATTGACTAGCACATCCTGATGGATCTCTGGGATGAAGGGATTGTCCAAGGAGGATTTTGTCATTCCAGGGAGCAGAGAAATCTGCTTCAGCAATGCTCAGTGAGTTTGTGGTCACTCCATAATTAGCGTCAAAAGAGTTTGTCACGCGAGTCGTGACAAAAACGCTTGAGTTTGTTCCTAAATAAAACACTGCCATGAGTAGGCTGACATTGCCAGGTCATACAAATTTATTTACTTTTCGAAAACAAATACTACCTAGCTTTGAGAAAGGTCCCGATTTCACGAAGTCTTGGCCGAGTGACGATGTAAATCCAGGGATAACATGAACTGGAGACTCTGCTCTCGCCTGAAACCTTATCTGAACACTTCGCCTGGCCTGGAGGCTAATGAGAAGAAGCAGCTGACAGCCAGTAGTCGCATTTAAACTTCATACATCGCACCTGAGTGAAACAGCTACCGGAGCTGGTTTTTATAGAAACTCTCCATTGCCCACCTTTTGCTCCTGCTGTCGTTAGTACTGAAAGTCACCGCAGTTAATGCATGATATAAGTACTAGGACAAGCAATAAGGAAATGTTTTGGTACACTACTGAGCCGTCTGTGTTAATTGAGAACTCTTATAACCAGGCTCAAACAAGATCGTCAGGACTTATTTACCAACTAGAGCTAACGAAACATTCGGCGAACTCACCAAATTCCACAACTAGAGCGGCCGAATCACTTAACAGTGCATTTGCAGGAGTGAATGTTATGTTGTTGCCTGAAAGGCTGTCATTTTCACTGATCCGAATCCATGGCATGACACACACTATTTACAGCTTTGTTTCTCCCTTCACAAAAGAAGTCCATGTTTATAGACGGAATGAAAAGCCTCATCCGTCCCACTTCGCTTCTGTACCACAGAAGGATATCAAACGGCGCCGGAGCTGGTGTTTTGGGATAATAAAAAGGAGCAGGAGAACATCAGTCTGCGTACTAACTCCCTCATACTCCTGTACCCTATAAAACTCTAGCGCCTTCACATACAAGTCTTCAAAACACTGGCGGTCTGCGCTGATGGATATCCGTATACCGTTTCGCCATCGTCTTCAGCATTGAAGCGCTAGCGCGACGGTAACGCGTGGACGCGCGTCGTAGCAGCCTAAGACACCTTCGTCGCTCGAAAATGAACTATTAGGTTGTCCGGAAAGTTCTGCATGTTTTGTGTTACTATTTTTTGCACATTCATTGCTGATCAAAAACTCGTTCTCCCTTGCGTCTCAGTAGTACATCCTAAAGAGAACTCTTTGCGCTATCTGATGATATAACTGCCGTTTCACCATTGCTTGATGAACCCCCTTTTTTTAAAGATTTTTTCAAGCATGTGAAAAGAGCACGAAAGGGAATATTCGCCCCGCATCATCGTTGGTGGAATGTGTCTGAAGATATGGCAGTCGAGGTAGAACCTCACCGCCACTCTGGTTCAATTATTGGATAGTGAATTGTGAAAAAATAGTGTATTATCTGTTGAAATGTGTGGGCGGGCGTTGTCATGCAAAAAGAATCGGACCTCTTACCTCTTGTGATAAGTGTTGGCTGCAAGCTGACAAAATTTTCGTTACAAATCCGCGTCGATTTCTTCACAGTAGAGTTCTGCTGTGATCGTTTTGGCCCTGGTAGTACAAAGTTTATGTGGCTCACACCAAGCTCAGTGACCACCAAAGCCGTGACCAGAGACTATTTGTTTCGTAGAGGGTTTCGGCTTTTGAAAGAGCTACCTCGGTGGTTCGGTCGAAATGCCATTTGTCCGAACGTGCTCCTGTTTAATCAAATAGCATGACCCATTTTTCAATGCACAGGTTGACAATTCGGTAAAAACTCAGGTCGTTTTTGCCTGCGCAAAAAAGCAATGCAGAAGGAACCTCGAGACGTGCCGATTTCCTGGCGGTCACTCCGATTGTGGGGACACGCCGATTGTCGAGTTTTTTCACGCTTCCCATGCGTTTCGCCAGCACCATCCGTGCCGCAACAGTTGGATTTGCCAACATTAGCTATTCTGCAATCCGTCGACTGTTTGGGATGGGTCAGCTGCTGGACATAAAAGCCCCCTAAAATCCACGTCAGAATGCTTTAGGTCGACTCGCTATGAGTTTCATCTTCAAGGCTGAAATCTCCAAGATTCTGAATTTGGTTGCGCCATTGCCGCCAGGTTCTCTAGCACTATTGGGCCCGCCACACGCTGGTTAATTTGTGAAAGCTGTTTCGATTGGGATTGCCGCCATTTCTATAGTCGAAAACAAAAATCGTCCGAAAGTGCTCTTTTCACCATGGTCCCTAGGCTTAGAAAAAAATCTTGAAAAAAAAGGGGATTATGGCAAGCAACAGTGGAACGCGCAATCATAAGCCATCAGATAGGCGCAAGAAATTCTCTACAGGATGCTGCTAATGAGAAGCGAAGGCAGGTAGAATTCTTGATCAGCCAATGATGTACAAAAATATGTGCACAAAAGCGTGAGAACTTTCCGGACAACTAGATAGACTTCTTTGGCCGAAACGCTCTCCTCTCGGTGAGCCTCGCATTACTGACCCACTCAGGGCGAGGGTTTGCGCGGCCCACTTCGGGTGACGTCCTAGCATTAACAGCTGATTAGATTTGCGGACTGTTGTCATGATTGTTGTGACGGTTTCCTCCATTCAGCCGGGCTGTCAACCAGGCGCCAGACGCTGGTATGGTCCGCTCATTTTTTGCAATTTTTTGGCAGGGCAGGTTTGTGCCTCGGCAGGATCTGAACTCGTGGCTTCAGAGTGCGAAGCGTTGAGTCCACACTCTTAACGACTTGACTATCCGTCCTCCTCGGTCACGATGAGGAAGTAATGGCTCGAAATTCGAAGAGCAGCCTCAGCGGCATGAAACATTTTCAAAACTTCCTTGCTGAAAAATACTTTATCATTTAGGACCAGGCAAAAAAGACCTTCAGAGATTTCGTGAATTTTCGACCACCCGGTTTTCTATTTTGATGGGATTTCTCGACTGCTGTCACATTGGCAAAAGTGTGCTGATTCGAATGGTGCTTATTTGGATCAAATCCGATGAGTGTTAAGAAAGTTATGATCGTTTAAAGTTAAACACTCAAAACCTGCAGAACTTTCCGGACAACCTAATATATGGGAGCTGAGCGGTTGTGAGTGTTGGGTGTCTCCACCCACTACAATATCTAGACCTACTCCGTGACGTTACGATCAATTCTATCGTCTTCCTGGTGCTTGTGGCTAGCCCCTACTGCTGTCTGATTCCTCGTCCGCCCTTTCACTGTTCCTCTGCCTCTCGTTTCGTCGTGTGCTCGTTCAATATCGAGAATCAACAGCAGGGAATGGGATCTACTTCGATTGGTTTTTAGCCGTTCCATCAAAAACAGTCTGAAACGACACCACTGATGAATTAAGCGCCTCCTTCACTTCAATAGCCTGAGCAGCACCGTTATGTAATCACTTCGAAAAACGCTACTTGAAGGGCTCAGCAATACAATAATAGCCTTTTTAACCACAAAGTTCCTGTTGCAACGTCATGGAATTGATTTCGCTACAGACCTGCTCCATCGTGAACGGTCACAGCTCCTGCACTTGAGACGTCGTTCCCTGTGATAGTCAAAACCACACGGATAGCCGTCGACTCCACGAAAAAGGTTACATCTTGGGGTGTAGTGCAATCCTAGTCCGAAGAATGATATGTAGAAGCGTGTAATACAATATGAAAAACCCAGATTAACGAATTTAAACAACCTGGAAGCCGTTGTCGTAAATGAGGGCGTTCTCGGTAATCATCGAATTCAACATATTCGAGATCTGAAAAGAAGATATGGGATTTGCGCGACTGGAATGAAAACAATGCACATTGGGGGAGGGGAGATCATAAGGGACCCACCAGCTAACGAAGATTACTGAGGACACCTAAATCTATTTGTATGTGAAATTAACCTACACTTCGTGTGGCTAGAACTGTCAAAGGTAGCAGACGTCCACCTGATTGTCGCACTGAAAATGTTAATTAATGCTGCTTATTTGTTTATTAATTTATTTATTGAAATATGAAGTAAGAAGTATGGAATGCATCTTAGACGACTATCAACCACCAGAGCAGGCCGGCTTCCGCAAGAATTTCTCCTGTATGTACAACATACAGGCAGTAACACAGCTCATAGAGAGGAGCCGCGAGTACCATCTTCTACTTGTCCTTTTCTTTGTGGACTAAAAGGCCTTTGACTCAGTGGAGATTAATGCTATTCTCAATGCCCTTGTGCGAGCCGGAGTGCCCTCTGCCTACATTCGCCTGCTCGAACAGAGTTTATCGAACACATCAACAATCCTGCAACTGTTCGCAAGGTGAAAGTACCCTCGAGAAAGGAGTACTGCAGGGGGACACAATATACGCGAAATTATCCACGGCAGCACTGCAGTATGCGATGTCAAACCTCCACTGGGATGACAAAGATACTTGATTGGCGGGAAAGATAAGCAACCTCGTTTCGCTGATGACTATCATTTGATATCCGATACTAACAGTCAGAAATGGAAGAGAGTGGTAAGGAAGCGCTGCGTACATTACTGGTCAGAAAGATTTGCTTGGAAATGACTACTGTCCCAAAACGACAAATGATGGTTGAACCACTGGTGAACGCGCGGAAGGCCCCGCGAATTGCAGTAGGAGTTGCTCCGAAAGAGTGGATTCCTACGTGTATTGGAAGAAGATTTGCTTCTGAATAAGCCGCAGAAGGCGTGGCAGCATGGGCAGCTTTTGGAA